GTCTCCCTTGTCTTTCTCGGCAATACTATCTGGTGACCCACCGCTAAACAGACTTTTCGATCCTTTTCACCGGGTCTTTCATTTCTGGCTCTGGATGTGATAAGCCATTGAAAAGGTCACTTATCATATTACAGAAGAATTTACACCCTTTAATGAGGCTGCGTTGACATCAGATCGTAAATGCATGTCTCTCGGTCGGCTCTGATGCCCCGTTCTGCAAGTGGAATGCAAATGTAAGCTCTCCGTTGCTATGCATATCAATTAACGAATTTGCTGCACTTTTACCTAACCGTTGTGCAGCAGCAGCAGCAACAGCAACAGCGGGTAATTAACTCGAACCCTGAACAACTTCTAACTGGTTGCGGCAGTTGGGGCCGGGGTGGGTAACAGTAGCAACCTCGTGGAGGTAGAAGTAAAGTCGATGTGGGAGACAGCGTCAGCCCCAGAATGGCCCAGGGGTCTTCTTATAGCACTGCTACCGAGAGGCAGCACGTAGGAGGGAAGCAAAACGCATGAATGCTAGGCTGGAAGGACAAAGAGCTGGAGGAAGAGGGGAGCGCATAAGTGCGGTACACATGAAGTAGATGTACTAGCTCATGCGATGCTAACCCAAATTCTAAAATCAGTTTTTGATTACCAAAAGATTTTACTAAAGTAGAGTGGTGAGATTAATTACTACACAGCATAATCCCACGATATTTCAGTCCTATCAGGATTCCGGCCTTTGAAAGTTCCTTCTTCAGACTGCCCTCGAAAACTAAACTTCACCAAAACATACAACTTAAGTAGCATATATGTTTTCTATAGATGTTCAGTGCTCTTATAAATCAGATCTAGTTCTTGAATACCCTTGAACGCAAAACCCTGTTACGTCTGCATTAAGGTCTTCCAAAATTCAAGCTTCCCATCCCTTTGAATTTATATGGGCATTGAAAAACAACGGAAGCTATGTAGTCTACATAAGTGGTCATTTTTTACTGAAAGTACGCTGTGTAGGCGACCGAAAGTTTTTTTCAAAAGTCCACATCCTAACCTGGCTGAAATATATTGGAATTAGTCTTAAAATTCTAATCAAAGAATATTTTCTAACCCGAAACGCACATCAGGTTTTTGATTAACCTGTCAGGATATAGTATATTTACTGCATTTGATTAAGTGGCTAAGCTGTCCAACTTGAGTATCAACCGTCTTTTTTGAGGACCTTCAACTCCCACACTCCCTCAGTTGACCAGGAGAACTAAAGATCCATTAGACAGCAGTAATTAAAAGCTGCAGGCAAAAAAGCAGTCTATGCTTAACTATGAACTCTTTCTATTTTACAAGTACTTTGGATCGTCTTGTGCTTGTGAAATCGCATGACAGTAAATAGGTGGTTTTTCGATGCCCGGCTTGCATTACTTACTATGTCTCCTTTCCCCGCCCCGATATGACTACAATTTCACTCCTCTCCTCCCCCCCCGCCCTACAGCTGGCTCCATCTGTTTGCAAGGCCTATGGTCACTGCGTGCCGCTCACGTCATTCGCCCCAGTCGTACAAGTAAACAATGGAATCCCAACTCGTGAGTCCTTTATTCCCGATTTTAGATATGTTTTTTTGTACAAAAAGGCTTCACTTCGTGACATACAGAATGATAGGTGTGATCAAAACGGCAAACCTCAGCCAAGTTGCCTAGCAGGACCTGCTTCTTAGAATTTATAAAACAAAACATATTTACATACCCCGAAATTCGACAACCAAAACAACAGTTTTGCTAGGATTTTCCGACCTCCAGGGTAAGAAGTACAGTGCGCGTATGTGCTTGCGTCCACCGTTGAGTTTTCCTTCCAGGACATGGATCCTCGGTCGCCTGCAAACAACCAGTGAACTAATGCAGTTTAATTGGCTGCATTTCGCCAGATGAGCGTTTCACATGACGATCTCCGTTCCACTGTATGAGAAGATGACGACTCGATCGCTGAGACAATACTTTCATTCGCCTGACGTTTTGACATCCGTCGCGGATTTATCATCAGGGACATTAACACTGTATATCCAATGCTGTAATTTCACTCAAGTCCACCTCCTCTTCGTTAGAGATCTAATTTTGCTTTCTTTCCCCTCTATTTGTGAGTTTATTTTTATGCAGGCTATTTGCTTCCAATACTTCCCGTGTCTTCGCAAATTTCCTCCTGTGTGGCCACTTTCTTGGTTGGTGGTATAATTTAAGACCGATCGATCAGTATTACTCATATTAGAAGTACATCTCATACGTTGGTACTGACTTCAGAGGTTCACGAAAACGAAGCTTTGCATTTAGTCCTGTATGGAGCCCACACAAACGACACAAAGGCTAGAAATGAGTTCCACCTAAACCTCATTATTTTTGCGCAGGATTCTGCCTTCTGTTTAGTGAGTGGTGTGGGCGTACGCTACTGATTAAATTAACCTACCGCCGTTTCCTCCTCCCCCTCCTACTCCATTATAGGCGGAACTTACCTTGGACAGCCTGTTATGCAGGGCTTTGCGCCGATTTTTCCGATGCCCGCAAAGATTGCATCCACCGGCGGCTACGTGAGCATGCCCATACAGGGTACTGCCGGTGGAGGTGTACAAACTGAAGTCGGCCGACGCACCATCAGTCCCGACCAGTTAATCTTTGCCCCTCAATTCACCTCACCCAAGCGCATGAAGCCCTCAGGCCAACAGAGTCCCTTCAACGAACTGCCCAATTTCCTACCGGGACTGGAGGAAGGCAGGAGATCCGAGTATCAGAAGCTGATTCAGCCAAAGGTCAGTCCGGTTGGCCACTTTCTAGGGCTGATGATGTAAAGTGCCCAGTGAGTATAAAATAGACGTGCTATCTCACAAAACGTTAGCTTAAAGTGAAACATATTTTTTTCTTAGAAAATATTACTTAAGTATGTTTGTAGCATTTATTAAGTATAGAGTACAGCATACGCCTTAAATAGTTTAGTCACGTCAGGATGCTCGCTATTGAAAGGGTTTCTTCCCGACCGTCTACAAGAAGTAGAAAATTTACACTTCAGTAGTATATTTTTTCTTGATGCTTTTACTTCCTGATAAGTTTACATATATTTTATGCAAATCATACACACAAAATATTTCTTTGGTAGAGAATTACGTCCTTCCTTAATTTTGTACTTGAATAAAGGGTATTCTGTGTTTTGAAAAGGTTTCTTAAATAACAACCCCAATCACCATTTTTAGTTTCGTGATGATGCCATAGGTAATCCTGTGCATAACATTTAAAGTCATTAATGTTTTAGAGCGGTCAGTGCTGAATAAACCAGATAGGCGCTGCCCATGAAATAAACCTTTAATGAGTTAATGCCATTAATTTCCACACGCCGTCTCTTTGCTCCAATTTTTTTCAGCCTATCCCTCCTCCCTAATTTAAATTGTCTGCCCTAAGCCCAGAATCCGCGTATTTATGCAGAGACTCTCGCGTCGCTCTTGATAATTCCAGTTAAGTCCAACAGAAGAGGCTAGCAGGACACAAATCTCCCAAAAACATGACACAGGCCCACAATAAACGGGCCAATGAGCGGTTTTTGTTTCATCTGGCAGGCCAGCTTGGGGTCTACTCCCTCAGCTTGAATGAAAAGTACAACGTGATCACAAAATCAAGGCATGCAGGGCAGATTTTCTACGCTCTGAATCTCCCTAATTTGGAACGAGCTCGTGTGATGACAAAAAAATAATAAAGCCTTCTACCAGCCTATCCTCTCTCCGAAGTTGAGATTCTGACAGGCATACAAGCAATGTCCCTGTGTTCTTTAAGGGTTGGCCTGGGCTAGGATTCACTGTGCCATGTAACAATTCGACCGAACAACTGAAGAGAAAACAACCCTTTTCGGTAATGCCAGCGCCAGCGAGCGTTTGCTTGGCCAGGGTTTCGCACTTGAAGGCGCATATCATTGAAAGTTGCTTTTCGCGGTGACAAGTAGATGCGACCCCGAACGTACGAACTGGCATACCACGAATTTTCGTCACTTTTCTCACATGGCTCTGCTTTCTGTTCGGCGTGTGAATTTTGCGTGTATGGAAGACAGCCGACTGCAAGGTTTATCCGATGCTTGTGGGCTCAGCTCGAAAAGACCGGGGAGTGTGAGGGAGAAAGGGA